GTCTGGTTAGCAGGCAAGTGTCTTAGACACTATGCTACCAGAGCTCCCTAGTGACCCTATAGGACAGAATAGAACTGACCCACAAGGCTGTAAACCTTTACAGAAGCAGATTGTCTCATCAATGGGTTCAAACCACCTACCTTATGGTTAGCATCTAGATGCTTTAACCACTGCAACCCTGTCTTCAACATTAAAAAAAAAAAAAAAAAACTTCACTGCCATCGAGTCGGATCCGACTCATAGCAACCCCTCCTTGGGCTTCTGAGGTGGTATCACTACAAAAGTAGATTGTCCAACCTTCCTTCTGAGGAGTAGCTGGTGGGTTTGAACTGCCACCCTTCTGGTTAGTAGTCAAATGTCTTAGGCACTACACCACCAGAACTCCCTGTCTTCAACAAAGAACAAATAAATTATTAAGTATTACTTAACTTCACAATGATGCTGAAGCATATTCCAGAATATTTCCTTGTTAAGGGCAAAATCTAGATGTGATTCTATAGATACATATTAATGATGAAATATCCTTTTGTATCTGATATGTTCTGCAAGGAAATGTCCCAGAACTTCAAAAGAAAATGAAACTAGGAGAAGAATAAAATAAATCTTTTAATTTTGTGGACAATTTTGGTCCCATGCTGCAGATGAATATTGCATACATATATCTGAAACAGCAAGCATAAAAGGGGTAAAACCTTCAACTTAAATTACATTGGTAAAGTAGGGAGGAAATCTACATATAAATGACTTCATAATACAATAGCTTAGAAATATGATAAAGCCTGTTCTTTTTAGTGGTACAAAATATTATTTGAGTGTAAAGCTAGTGATATATTTATGTTTCACGATGATTACACATGGCAACGATAATCACAAAGTTTATCTACTGGTAGAGAGGGCAGATTAGTTTTAAATGGCATAATGCCTAAGTGATATTGCCTCAGAAACCCAAAGAGGGGTTACTATGAGTCAGGTCTGACTCCACGGCACATAACAACAACAGCAACGTGACCCTTTAGCTAAATGGTATTTCAAGGGTTCTGAGGAGAGGTTGTTGAGTGCCCTAGTTTGGCCGGACAGTCTTTCCTCTCTGTTTTGATAATTTGAATGTAATGCCCCTACTCTTTTTTTTTTTTTTTTAAACATCTAAAACATTCAACTCTGAGTACCTTTTTATCGGCATAGGCTCTAGAAAATGACATAACCAGATTAGAATCATGTCCTTGAACTCACCAACACTGTGACCTTTTGGATAAAATTTCACATCTATAAAATTGGTATCAGTACATCATAAATTATTTGATTTAAATGGAAGTGGGTAAATAAAATGATAAACAAAACAAACTTACTGCCGTCGAATCAATCCTGACTCATAGCGACCCCTCCTTGGGTTTCCGAGACTGTATCTCTGCGGAAGTAGATTGCCCCACCTTCCTTCCAAAGAGTGGCTGGTGAGTTTGAACCACAAACCTTCTGGTAAGCAGTCAAATGCCTTAAGCACTATGCTACCAGACCTTAGCCCTCTAAAAATTTAAATGTCCTTCCTGTTCACTTTTCAATAATGTCTTAACCATAGCATCTTTGCTTTTATTTATTTATTTATTTTTAATTTGCACTTAACAATAGCAAAAGTTTCAGATGTATGGTATGTTACAATTTATGCATATATTGGCACACATTAGCTATCTGGTTTAATCCTCTCACCAACTACAGGCATGCTAACTCTCTTTGCATCTGTGTTGACAGATGAAGTGGCTTGACCATGGTCACACAACTGATACAGAGGAGGGACTCAAATTCATGTCTGTAGAGTGCTACTTGAATGCTCCTCCCACCATACTAGAAAGGACAATTTCATAAACATATTCAGGAAAAACCTAATTTAGGCTGTGATTTCCTCACCTAACCATTGACAATTAAGGATTGTACTGACTGCTAACCAGAAAGCTGAAAGTTCAAACCCACCAGTCAGTCCTAAGAAAAAAGATTGGACAATCTATTTCTGCAGAGATACTGCCTCGGAAATCCAAGGAGGGGTTGCTATGAGTCGAATCGATTCCATGGCAGGGAGTTTAGTTTTTTTAAGAGGCTGAATAGATAGAGCCTCCAGAATTTTTTTTTTAAATGTCAGCCACACCTTCCACTAGGAAGAAGGTTTTAAGATACGTGTAGTATTCTGAGTGTAGGGTGATAGTAAACATTATATTTTTGCATTACCATGAGATGACAAAATTACCCACTCTCAAAGGACCAGCTGCTACAGGGTGGCTGGCACTCATAACGCCTACATTCTGAAAACTGTTTTGAATTGGTAGTTACCTGTGATTTATTTATTTATTTTCTTCTTCCAAAGAGGAAATTTATATGTAAACTTATTAAAGCCATAGCATCTGTCATGATGACATGACATCACTGAATCTTAGTAAGTGAAATGTTCCATTTCAGGATTTTGAGGCTGCTCACATTTTTTATTGAGACAAGAGTTCCAACTATGCATCTCCTCAAAGAGGTGTGAGGGGCAGGAATTAAAAAAAAAAAAAAAGGCAGAAAAATGGGTACAGAATAGTTTGGACAAAACAAAATCAGAAATTCAACCCAATATTTTTCTGTTATATTTTCAATACTTCGCTAAAATGTGTGTATACAACATACAAGAAACCGTTTATCATTAGATACATGTGGTCTTAGGAGCACAAATTTTGAAATAAGAAGACTTAAGACCTGAGCTCTTCCCAAATTGTTAGAGAGCTTTAGTCCAAGGACTTAACTTTTTGGAACCATTCTCATTTCTAAAATATGGAAAATAATTCTCATTCTACAGCATTATAAAAAAAAAGATCAAATGGTTAAGAATATTATAAATAGATAAATGTTTACTGTACTATTAAAATAACAGCCATTTATTAGGTTACTATTATATACCAAGGTCTATGCTAATAGCTTAGATGTTCATTATCTCATTTAATTTTCACAAAAATTATTTATTTAGATACTATTATTATATCCAATTTACAGAGGAAACTATGGAGGCTTAAAAAAGTTAAGAAGATTATACATGGTTACAAATTCAGCAAATGGAGGACCAAGAATTGAACTTAGATTTATTCTTTCATTTAATCCCCAAATATTTACTAAGGGATAGATGTCTTAAACAAACTGAGACACTGAATGGAAGAAGCAAGTGATGGATGGATGTTGAGTAAGCAACCATGTTCACTCTCCCTTAGCAATGTATGGAGAATGTATTGAAAGGTGACTAGAGAGGCTCCAGGAACGCTCAGTAAGAAGTTGAGTCCAAGTGACAGGTGATGTAGATTTTAACCAGGCTGGCAACAGATGATATGAAGAAACCTGGACGAATTGTGGCTATGCTTTGCAAGTGGAGATAAATGAATATGGTGGTGGGAGTGAAGAGTCAAGCAAACAAGGATGACCCCTCCTCATCTTTTAGTCTGAGCAACATGATGATCTGAAATGGGGAACATTAGAATGAATGTGCAGAGTGAGGGAAATAAATCTGTCTAGTCTCAAATCTCATACTTTTAACCATTTTTAATGTTACCTTTAATTATTATCAATATTAAAAAGATATTTGAAGTTCATAAATTGCTTGGAAAGGTTTATAGTAAAGTAAAATTATTTCTTCCCAAGGGAAAATGGCAAAAAAGAAAGTTTGACATAGAACTTACTATAGATTTTTAGTTTTCAAAGTATATTTCTAGGGACAAGTATTGTTTGAAATTCTCTTTGAATTTTGTTAAATATAGCTGCAATACCTACAATATTGTGAGAGAAATCTAATGGGGAGAAATAACTGGAAAATAATTTGCCACAATTTAGTATTAAATGATGGGATCATAAGCATTTTTCTTTATTCTCCATTTTTGTATTTTCAGATTTTCTAGAATATTTTAAGTACTACTTTTATAACTAGTAAATTAAGAATTTGATAAAATTAATCCATAAGGTTTTGTTATTCTTCCATAGTGGTAAGTCCTGAAAATCATTCAAATTACAACTCTCAAAAAAAAAATCAAAACCAGTCCCAAAAAATGATGTAATTGACATAGACCAAGAGTTTGGTTGATGTAGGGACCACTGAGGAAGTTAAGGTCTTCCTGACTTCCGTAATTTGAAGTACTTCTAGATTTAAATGTTGAGAATTTTAAATTTATTTTTATCTTTACTTTCTCACATCCTAAGGTAAAATAGTAATAGAAATCCTCCTAGCTGCTCCTGACACTTGCCTCTTTTCCTTCCTTTCAGGGTCAATGACTGTATCTTGAGGGTGAATGAGGTCGATGTATCAGAGGTTTCCCACAGTAAAGCAGTAGAAGCCCTCAAAGAAGCAGGGTCTATTGTTCGGCTGTATGTGCGTAGAAGACGACCCATTTTGGAGACTGTTGTGGAAATCAAACTGTTCAAAGGGCCTAAAGGTAATGAAAACACAAATGACTCACACTAAGGCATCAGTTACAAGCTATTTGGCTAAAATGTATACCACAACCCACCTACAACGTGTTCTCTTCTTTTATCTTCCAATATTCATTGGTTACTGAGAGACTGGAATCCTGAAATAATGGTTTTTACAAAAGGTAAAAGGAGCCCATACTCTAAATATGAATTTATATAAGGAAAGGACAGATTGGTAACAACTACTTACATTCTTTCGTAAATGTTTACTCTTAATGGATCATCATGACTTTGTTACATACTAATACTTTTTAATTTTTCAGTTATAGGTTATAAACCTTCTCTTTTAGCAAAACAGTAATGGAAATAAGAATAATTAAAATAATCTATCCTGGAGTAATAATTGACATTTTTTATAACACTGTTGGGATTTGTTTTGATTTTATGATACCCTTTTGTGTTATACCCAATAAGGACTATATAATACTTTATACTTGAAATAGTCAATATAAGTTAAAATTTTTTATGTTTTGACATGTTGACAGATCTCTTGAGGTACTTATAGTTATTCTGGGAAATGGCATAAACAATTAAATGAATCATTATACTAATTTTTAAGAATAATCATTTGTGCCATGTTCTTCAGAGTGATGACATTTAATATTGGCTTAATAGTCTTTTAAATATTTTAGGAAAATCTAATAATTGGCTTAACAGTATTTTAAATAATTTAGAAGAGTATAGCTGGATAGTCACTCTATTCTTTGAATGAACCATTTTTCTTTCCCTTAAAATCAATTTAAACTTAATTTTATGTGCAATTAAAAACAATAATTATACTACCTTTGCTGGAGGCCACAGTGGGTGGTATGTAAAATCTCAAGTCCACAGACCCAGGAGTCAGATAGAAATGAGTTTAAAAACCTAGTTAATGCATTTACTAGTAGAATGACCCAGTTTGGATTAGGGGTTCAACTTTTATAAGCTGCAACTCTCTCACTGTTACAGGGGGATCATAATCTACCCTATAGAGTTAAAATAAAAAACAAACAAACCAATTGTCATCGAGTGGACTGTGACTCATTGTGATCTCATGTGTGTCAAAGCAGAATTGTGCTCCACAGGATTTTCTATGGCTGATGTTGGAAGTAGATCACCAGAGCTTTTTCTAAGGCACCTTTGAGTGAATTCAAACATCCAGCCTTTCAGTCAGTAGCTGAGGGTGTTAACCATTTACACCACCCAGGTTATGTGAATATTAGGTGACCTGATGAATATAAAAGCATTTAACTGATGGTTAGCCCATAATGAGCAGTAGAGCCAGGTGGTTAAGAATATAGACTCCAGGGCCAAAGTGTTGGATGGAAATACTGGCTGTTACTCATTAGCTACCTGACCTTGGGCAAATTCCTTAACTTATCTGTGCCTTCATTCTCTCTTCTTCAAAATACAGGTAAAAATAGTACTTGTTCCTAAAATATTATGAGAATTGTATTAGTCAACTCACAGAAATGTTTACAATTGTAACTGGCACATTTTGACTGTCCAAAAAATATTAAGTGTGTTGTTTTGGGATGTTGTTTGTTCACTTCCAACTCATAAACTGTAGAACTGCCCCATAGGGATTTCTTTGCTGTAGTCTTTATGGAAGAAGATCTCCAGGTCTTTCTCCTAGGGAGCTGCTAGATGGGTTTGAACCGCCAACTCCTTGGTTAGCAGCCAAGCATGTAACCATTGTACCACCAAACCCAAATAGAAAAAAAAAAAAAAAAAAAATTGCTGTCAAGGCAATTCTGACTTATAGCAACCTTATAGGATAGACTAGAAATGTCCCATACTGTTTCCAAGCCTGTAATCTATTTTTTTTTCCCCACTTTTATTCTGGTGAAACATATATAAGAAGACATTTGCCAAAATAACAACTTCTCCATTTACAGCTCAGGGACATTGATGACATTTTTCATGTTGTGCCACCGTTATTGCTATACTTTTCCAAAATATTCTACCACCGTTAGCATAAACTCAATGCCCTGCAAAGAAAAGCTTCCCCTTTCCCCCTACCACCCCTGATAACTGACTGATAACCTTTGGTTTATACACACACACATAGATAGACAGACAGACAGATACTTTTTTTTTCCAATCTATCTAGGAACTTAGCCTCCCCTCCCCTCTCATCCCTGGTAACCAACAAAGACAGTTTCCCAAAGTTGTAATCTTTACGGAAGCAAACTACAACGTCTTTCTCCTGCAGAGCAGCTGGTGGGTTGAAGCCACCAACTTGTCAGTTAGCAGGCAAGCCCTTAACCACTGCATTAGTAGAGTTCCTATATGTTAACCATGTACACTCACATCTGTAGAAGGTAGACTGAGCAACTTACTTCCATAAAGATTTACTGCCTCGGAAACCCAAAGGGGGTCACTATGAGTTGGAATCGACTTGATGGCAGTGAGTTTTTTGTTTTGTTTGACACATACGTATTGTTTGTAATATTATCTTATACATACAGTTTCAGCCTTTGTAACACTTATTTAGTTATAGAATGAAAATACTCAGAGCTCCCTCATGGGCTACATTCAAATGCATTAAAATACAATAACTAAATCTGAAAGAAAAAAAGTAAAATATTCCCATATCAGAATGTCTAGTGAAAATGAAAGAAAGACTTCCTATCTTGCACATTTTCTAAAATCTTACCTGTTTGGTTCTTTAAAGCCAAATATAGACATTTCTACAATTTACTTAACAATTTTTTCAGCACAGAGCTAAGGTAAATACTTAGCCTAACATTAGTATCCATTAAGAGGCTCCCTACTATCTAGTCACTCAGTGACTTGCAGCCACGCAGCAGAGCACTTAAAGGCTTTGGTGAATTGGTGGCTATAAGTTTTAGGTATGCATGTTTTGGGGTGGGTGGGTTTTTACCTTTGATACTAGGCCTTCCTCAAGTTGGTTTACTTCTGGTTGAAATTTCTTGTCTTTTGAACTAGGAGTAGGGCAAGAATTATCCTTATATTTAGAAGAGGGGATATGAGAAGAGATGAGTGTTAATCAACAATCATCCTGTGACAATACACAGCTTGTGGGAGATGGAATTACACATTGGCCTGGTCTACTGAGAGAAACTACTGGAACTAACTTTACGATACTGAGACCAGGTTCCTGCCCAGTCCCTGCAGACACTTGGGGGCTGGATTTGTTTAGTGATCCTACTGGGAACATGCTGAGTTGGTCATACTTTTTCATACTGTCACCATCTAGAATGGTGACTGTTGGGGATTTATTTCTCTATAGAAAACTTGTGGAATTACAGGAAAATAAACTATTTTATTCACTGTTTAGATACCTAATGTCTTTCCAAGTGTCTTGAATTTAGGAAGTGTGGAATCAGAATAAATTGAATAATTAAACTGGATTTTTAATTAAATATGATGAGACTTTGCAAACCTCACCTGACACCTTATAGTTCTTTATTATTGAATGATAATATATTGAAGAGAGATTCTACCAACATTTAACTCATACACTTCTGTATAATAGAGGATAAAGCGGAATCAGATGCAATTCCTCTCCTCAAAAAGTTCTAATGGAAGTGATAAACATTATGTCTACTAACTCCAATGCATGGCAGAATGAAATTAGGACTATGATAGAGCTTCAGCTTTATATTCAATAGAGCAAGGAGGATGATATCATTTATCTTAACCACAGCCAAAATGCTCCAGAGAATTCGATTATGAATTAAAAGAGAATTTATTATATGCACACAGGTATGTATGGCCTTCCTTGGGCACTCTCTTTACCAAGTATTAACTATCTAGCCATCTTAGGAGCTCTGGTAGTATAGTGACTAAGGCATTTGACTGATAACCAGAAGGTTGGAGGTTCCAACCCACCAACCACTCAGCAGAAGGAAACTGCTGAGATTAACCACCCCGGAAACCCAAAGGGGGTTGCTATGAGACAGAATAGACTTGATGCCAGTGAGTTGTTTCTTTTTTTTTTTGTATCTAGCTATCTGAGCTAACTAGCTTTGATTATATGTATATGATTACTAGCCGCTCCTTGGAAGGAAGACTGAGCAATCTTCTTCCATAGAGATACTGCCTTGTAAACACAAGGAGGGGTCACTATAAGTCAGAACTGACTCGAAGACAGTGAGTTTGGAGTTTTGTTTTGTTTATTTTTATTTTATTTTATTTTTTTTTTAATTTTGAGCCATCTGATTTCCTTTAGTAATTAGTCCTTCAGTGATTCAACAAACATTTATTGGGTATTTATTGTGTACTTGGCACAGAGTCAGGCAATGTGGACTCAACAAAGAGAGAGAGAGAGAGAGAGAGAGAGAGAGAGAGAGAGAGAGACTCTGCTTCAAAGATAATAGTTTGCTGGGGGGAAATTAATAACATCAATATCAATAATATATATTGGGAAAAGTACTATGAATGAGCATAAAAGTTGTAAAGGGGTTCCATTAAACAGTGATTTAAGGGATACTTCTCTGAGGAAGTACCACTTAAGCTATTATTGTTAGGTGCCATCGAGTCAGCTCTGGCTCCCAGTGACCCTATGTACAATAGAATGAAACACTGCCCAGTCCTGCACCAGCCTCTCAATCCTTGCTATACCTGAGCCCATCTTGGCAGCCACTGTGCCAATCCATCTCATTGAGGGCCTTCCCCTTTTTTGCTGACCCTCCATTTTACTAAGCATGATATCCTTTTCCAGGGAAAGGTCCCTTCTGATAGCATGACCAAAATAGGTAAGATAAAGTCTGGTGTTCTCGCTTCCAAGGAGCATTCTGGTTGTAATTCTTCCAAGACAGATTTGTTCACTCTGGCTGTCCATGCTACTTTCAGTATTCCTCACCAACACCGTAACTCAAAAGCATCGATTCTTCTTCAGTCATATTTTCTCATTGTCCACCTTTCACATGAATATGAGGTAATTGAAAACACCATGGCTAGGGTTAGGTGTACCTTAGTCTTCAAAGATATATCTTTGCTCTTCAGCACTTTAAAG